GCTCTTTAGCACTTTTTATTTGCTTAACAACCAAAGCCATCCATTTGAAGTTTGATGTAACCGAGCTAAGCACTCTAGATTTTCTTGAGACTTTTCAAAGGTTCATTGCATGACGTGGTAAACCGCTGGATGTATATTCGGACAATGGAACCAACTTTGTGCGGGCATGTAATTATTTGAAGGATTTGGGTAGTTTCTTGAAACAAAATTCCGGTAAATTTAAAGAAAACCTGGAACAGTCCGTTGATGTTACATGACACTTTATAGCAGCATATTCTCACCACCATGTTGGTTTGTGGGAAGCCGGCGTCAAAGCGGCAAACACCATTTGAAAAGAGTCATATTCAATACATTATTTTCATTTGAGGGTCTTTATACAGTCATCACACAAATAGAAGCAATTCTAAATTCAAGACCTTTAACACTGTAGTATAACATACCCGGGTTCGTTCAGTAAGATTGAACGATGAGAATTTTTATTACCTTTTAAACAACAAATTTTCTGAAAAACGAAATGAAAAATAAATAGGACCTACGTTATGGAAACTTACTCAATTTTACTTACTGGACATGCGCCCGACATAGCAAATATTAGGGAAATTTAAGGTAAGTTGTGATATGTAAAAGAAACGAAAAATGTGTGAAACGTCTACTATATTATTAAAGTAAATCGTACCGTTTTCATTCTGGAACTAACGAGGGGAAAGAGCACGGCAGAGAAACCCTCGATCTAACATTCCTCAAAAATCGAAACATACTGTGTCATTTTAATAATAATTTTAAGTCAATAATTCAATAATTCAGGTCAATAAAAGTTTAAAATTAGGTACTATCCTTTGTTCTCGTGCTGAAATTTTAATTACACACACTACATTCAATCAACACTACCTATATCCAATACTGAAGAGTTTTTGGTTAGTTAGCCAGTTTCCCAGCAGGTACTGAGGTCCCATACGGGAAGCTACTCAGCTATAGTTGTTTTTGAGCCAATATCTCTAGATTGATTTTTCTCAATTTGCTAGGATATTCTCTCGTCAGGGTAGGAAAATGTTAGTAAATTCAACAAGGCCCTAATACACGCTCTGAATACACAAAATCAAAATCTCAGCACAAAAAAACAGCACATAATTTCTTAGGTTTTGATTTAATTCTTTATCGGTGTTGTTTTCAGCATGAAACGATTTTTGTTAAACACATGAACAATGCACATGTTATAAAAAAAAATGTTATAAACAAACAAAAAAACATAAAAATGGAAAAAATTATATTTGCATAAATTGAACTCTCACATACAAAATAATAATTAATCAACTAACCTGTGAACGCTTCTTACACACACACTAATAAAAAATTGGATTGAACAATCAATTTTAATGCAAAATAAAAATAAAAGTTGAATAATGAATAATTACAGACACGCGACACGTTTTCTAAGGGACCAGTCCAGCTCGTTCTGTAGTCTAGTTGCCTATCCTCTTCGGTTTCGGTACCGTCGTTTTCTGTGGTGCGCTCGTTCAGTTCTAAACTTGAGGGCGCATACATGGTTGCAACATCTACTTTTATTCGGTAAACGTTTAGATTTTAAGAAATAATATTGTAAATAGGTGGTTTTCCTCAACACCACTCTCAACAGATCCAAATTTTGAAAAATTAGAACTTTTTAAATCAACAATTATGGTCTAGATGGACCAAAGAATATTCGTAATTTGAAAGAACCAACCAAATATCCAGTTAGGAACAATGGTCATAGTGAAGGACAATCATTAGCCGCCATTTAAACGGAAATTAAGTCGCATCAGTGCCTTTTATTCAGGGAATGATGGTGTTGTACGCGTTGTGTCAATTAAAACTCAAACAAGTCAAATCCATCGGTCCGTGACAAAGTTGTGTCCTCTCTCAGTTAATGAAAATTAGCATTTAAGTACCAAAAAAAAAACAATTTTTCGGAACATTCAGAATCAGTGTTCTAATATTGATACTTGTTCTTACTTAACCGAGTCATCAAAAAGATTCAAAATTGCATGTTATCTGTTCAAGAGTCAAAGGATAAACAAGCCCTCCACCTATCCATGTAGGTAATTGTTATTTGCTTTGCTTTCCTAATTTTAGAGGTGAATAAACGGTGGTGAGTTGACGTTTACATTTGATTACAACAAAAAACCCTATTGAAAATACAGGCCACTTACACAAAAATGTTGAATAGCAATTTCTCCCAAGTGTGAATCGTTCAACAAACAACCAATCCTACCAACAAGTGTAAAATTGACAAATCAAATTAGTCATACTAAATCGTTAGAATAGCATTATTATTTTTCCCCAAAAATTACCAATTAACTTGGCAACATTGAATGGAGATTCCCCAAGAAAATTCATAATTCAATAAAGCGAAAAAAATAAACAACGATACCTGTTGTTAATTTTATAAACTTGACTACTGATATTTTTAGTGTTATTGGTAGATCATTAAAGGCGATATTTTTTGGTTACTTATATATAATCATGGCAACACTGTTTTTTTCAAAATTGATACTCAAGTTGGCAACATATGAATAGTTATTGCTTGTAAAAAATGTATCACCCAAAGATAAACAGACAATGTTGCCAACTACTGTAAATTTGACAAACTGCGTTAGTGACATTTTTTAATGGTGCTACTAGACCCTCAAAATCGATATTTACGTGACTGGTGACTGCGCAAAATTGTACCATGCGGACATTTGACAATACCGCAATTTACTATATCATGACGTCACAAATAAATAGCCGTTTTGGCGCGCTTTTTGAATTTAGTTTGCAAATAGGTAGGTTTCAAATTATGATCTTTTTGTGATATTCCTTGGAAATTTTCATATGCATTTGCATTTGCAAGCTGTTAAAAGTGTTGATGAGCGATTCAATTTCTTGTTCGGTGAGCCTAGAAAAAGAAAATAAAAATCAACTCAAAATTGAGCACAAAGGTCTGTTCCAGTCATTGGCCTGTTCTCACAGAAATCACAAACCAATCAGAGCGTTTATGTTTTATGCAAATCGCCAACAAACAGTTGGAAATTTACAAAGTCATGATTTGGGATTGAAAATTGGAAGTTTCCAGAGTTTTTCATAAAAATACCAAGGCATTTTCAAGGTTTCTAGATCCTCAAAGAGTATTTTCAAGAGATCAGGAAATTTGCAAAAAAAAAGTTCAAAATCTAAAGCATTTGAGAATCTAGAAAATCCCTAAAACTTTCTTTCGGAAGAAAGAAAAAATGATGACTCAAGAATCACACTCTTGAAAGTATATCCAGATAAAAATTTTGAAATTCTCAGTTGAACCTCAAATTTTAGGATCTAATAACTCCCAGGGTTTTTTCATAGAAGCAGCAAGAAATATCCAGGATTTGCAGAATACAGATCCTAGCAAATGATTAGTGCAAGATGTGAAGGTAATATAAATCTAAAAAGTCTTCTGATAGAAGAACCCGGAAATTTGCAAATTCATGACTTGGAATTGAAAATTGAAAGTTTCCAGAGTTTTTCATAAAAATACCAAGGAAATTTCAAGGTTTCTAGATCCTCAGAAGTATTCTCAAGGGAAAACAGAAGATTTGCCAAAGATAAGTTCAGAATCCAAGGCATCTGAGAATCTGGAAAATCCTAAAAATTTTCTCTTAGAAGAACCAAGAAGTGATGACTCAAGAATCAGACTCTTGAAAGTCTTTCCAGAGGAAAATCTGGAAATTCTCAGTTCAACCTCAAAATTCAATCAAGATTTCAAGATTTGCAGAATTCAGATCTTAGCCAATGATTAATGCAATCTCCAAAGGAAATAAAAATTTAAAAAGTTTTCTCATACAAGACCCAGGAAATTTCCAAAGTCATGACTTGGGATTGAGAATCGGGAGTTTCCAGATTTTCTCATAAAAACATCGAGGCATTTTCAAGGTTTCTAGATCCTCAGAGAGTATTCTCAGGGAAAAACAGAAGATTTGCAAAAGAAAAGTTCAGAATCTAAAGCATTTGAGAATCTGGAAGATCCTGAAAATTTTCATTTCATCAAGAATCAGGATCTTGAGAGTCTTTCCAGGGAAAAATCTGGAAATTCTTAATTAAACTTCGAAATTCAGGATCTAATGATTCCAGAGTATTTTCATAGAAGCATCAAACAATATCCAAGATTTGCAGAATTCAGATCTTATCAACATCCATAGCAAATGATTACTAAGATAATAAGAATATAAAAAGTGTTCTCATAGAAGGACCAGGAAACTTGCAGTCATGACTTGGGATTGAGAATTGGGAATTTCCAGAGTTTTCCATAAAAACACCAAAGCATTTTCAAGATTTATTTGAATCTCTTTCTTTGACATTTTCATATTTCCCAGCAAACACAATCTCACACAGATATAGATTTGAAAATTTCTGAGGCTTCAAGTATTCTGACGATTTAAAGACTTTAGAAAGGTTCGAAAGTCATGACTTAAAACCAAATGCACGTCACTATAGTCTTGAAAGATTCTAGGCTCTGAAGATTTATTTTTTTTATTTGGAAGAGAGGAATATTATAGAGAGTCTGTTGATTTAGGACTAAAGATTTTATATTTAATGAAATTTGCATTAAAAACTCAATAGGCAAGTATACCTAAAGAGTGGAAAATATGCGAAATCCGTTTTAAACCACATTTTCACGCAGATGGGGCAATAACAATACTGAAAATGCAAATGATGATATTCGCCTTTATAAGCTCAGTGGATACTTATAAAGCACCCTTAATACTATAAATTTTTGATTTTTATATGGAGATATTTTCATTGCTTTCACACTCAAAAATTATAAATAATGCAAATACCATGGGATTTAACTGCTGCCAGGCTGGGACATAAAAGTATAAAAGGCTTTACGACTTTTTGTGTTCGCATATACCTTTTTGCTTTGTGTCTTTATATACGTATAATATTGATCAAAATCATTTTGTGTCTTTTTCTATTTATATAAATCATCAATTTTTTTTTCTCTCTTTCAGCCGCCGGTTCTCGGTCTCTTCAGTGTTTAGAAACGCTCGCCCAAAAGGCCGGAATTCACGACATCACAGCCGACGATTGCAAGTATGACGTGGCCAATACTCTGCTGAACTTGGACAGGAGTCACGAATTCATCAAGCAAAGCGTCGACGCCAGCTCGGGCATGTCGCAACAGCAACAGAACCAGCAAGCCATGGCTGACCTTAACAAACAACAGGTAATAATCTGTCATAGAATCGAATGATTTTTGTAGAAGATGGATCTTGAGTTTTTCGCAGGATTTTGGAATCCTTTTCTCTACGAGACATCTTGGAATGTCTCCTTAAGTGTCTCTCTTCATCATGTCTCATTATCTCATATAAAACTTTATTTTTCTTCAACAACTTCTTCTTGGTCATTGTTCATTTCGTGTTCATCCACACTTTCGCTATTGTTTTTGATGTTGGTATCCTGTTTCTTTATAGCAACAAATGGTAGATGCCAACGCCCAAGCCGTCCAACAACAACAACAAAACCAACAGCAAGTGCAACAGCAACAGGATCAACAACAACAGCAGCAGCAGCAACAACAGCAACAGCAACAACAACAGCAACAATTTCAGTTGCAACAGCAACAACTGGTACAAGCTCAGAGTCCGCACTTGCAACAAGTCACTGTCAATGCTCAAGGTAGGGTAACAACTTGATTCATAAAGCTTTATTCAACAATATTTCAATTCTATTTTAGGTCAACAATGTATTCAGACAGCGACGAACATGGGCCCGCCTCAGCAACAGCACACCGCCACGATGCATCAACAACAGGTAGCTCAGCAACAACAAGGTCAACAAGTGCAGATCCAAACTCAGGGTGGACAAGTACTGACGGCTGCGTCCGGCAGTACTACCATCACGACGATGTCGCCTCTACAGCAAAGTCAGCAAACTGGTCACCCGCAGCAAGTCGACTGGGGTCACGGCAGGGTCCAGGTGATTCAGCAGCCGACTCAGAACCCGATGTACGTCCAACAGTTGTACAACACTCAGGGTCAGCTTCTGATGCCTGGAAATATTGCGTTGCATCCTAGTATTAATCCGCAACAAATACAGGTGAGATTTTTCCTGATTACTCAGCTACTAATAATAATAGAGGTTCATTTACTGTTGCTTCTTCTTATCAGCCTGTTCTGATCCATTTCTGCCTCATCCAGTTCCCTGTGGGTGCTATTACGCCATCCCCAACACGTATTGTGCTTTTTCTTCAAAGTTATTCCAGAACAATTAAGTATAGGATGTAGAATGTCTTTTTATCTCTTCTTCTTATACAAGCTGATAGAAAAAGACACGAATACACTTAGTGCGCACTAACGCTTCCAATAGAATTCGCTATTAGTACTAAGTAGGCTTAGGAAATATCTGTTGCCATGTCGGTATTACAAGTTTGGGCGCCAAATTCAAACTTTGAAATTTTCCAAAGCCTACTTTGTCGCTTGTCAAACTGTCACGTTGCTACACCAACATCGGTTAACAGCGTTGCCAACTTTAAGAAATTTTGTTTTTCTTACAGGCTCTCGAATTTTCTTTATTTTGAGAAATTTACAAGAGATTCAAAAATCGGTAATAAACAAAAATATAGACAAGTGTAGAGCAAATGTCTTTTCATCTGTTTCTTATACAATCTGGTAGAAAAAGACACAGATAAACTCAGTGCGCACTAACCCTTTCAATAGAATTCGCTATTAGTAGGCTTAGGAAATATCTATTGCCATGTCGGTATTACAAGTGTCTAGTTTCGGCGCCAAATTCAAACTTTGAAATTTTCCAAAGCCTACTTTGTCGCTTGTCAAACTGTCATGTTGCTACACCAACATCGGTTAACAGCGTTGCCAACTTTAGGAAGTGTTGTTTTTATCACAATCTCTTGAATTTTCTTTATTTGGAGAAATTTGGAAAAGATTCAAGAGCCGGTAATAACCAAAAATTGAGACAAGTGCAGAATAAATGTCTTTTCATCTTTTTCTTATACGAGCTGGTAGAAAAAGACACGGATACACTCAGTGCGCACTAACCCCTCCTCGCGGGAGTATTAGTAAACTTTGGTAATATTTTTTTTTATGTCGTTATTACAGGTGTCTAGTTTGGGCGCCAAATTCAAACTTTGAAATTTTCCGAAGCCTACTTTGTCGCTTGTCAAACTGTCGTGTTGCTACATCGACATCGATTAACAGTGTTGCCAACTTTAAGAAATGTTGTTTTTATTACAAACTCTTGAATTTACTTTATTTAGTGAAATTTAGAAAAGATTCAAGAGCCGCTAATGGACAAAGTGCAGAACAAAAAATGTATTTTCATCTCTTTCTTGTACAAGCTGGTAGAGAAAGACATGGATACACTCAGTGCACACTAACCCTTCCAATAGAATTCGCTATTAGTAAGCTTAGGAAACATCTATTGCCATGTCGGTATTACAGGTGTCTGGTTTGGGCGCCAAATTCAAACTTTAAAATTTTCCAAAGCCTACTTTGTCGCTTGTCAAATTGTCGTGCTGCTACATCGACATCGATTAACAGCGTTGCCAACTTTAAGAAACTTTGTTTTTATTACAGGCTCTTGAATTTTCTTTATTTTGTTAAATTTAGAAGAGATTCAAAACCGATAATAGACAAAAATTGAGACAAGTGCAGAACAGATGTCTTTTCATCTCTTTCTTATACAAGCTGGTAGAAAAAGACACGGATACACTCAGTGCGCGCACTAACCCTTCGAATAGAATTCGCTATTAGTAGGCTTAGGATATATCTATTGCCATGTCGGTATTACAAGTTTCTAGTTTAGGCGCCAAATTCAAACTTTGAAATTTTACAAAGCCTACTTTTTCACTTGTCAAACTGTCATGTTGCTACACCAACATCGGTTAACAGCGTTGCCAACTTTAAGAAATTTTGTTTTTATTACAGGCTCTTGAATTTTCTTTATTTGGAGAAATTTAGAAGAGATTCAAAAAACGGTAATAGACAAAAATATAGACAAGTATAGAACAAATGTCTTTTCATCTCTTTCTTATACAAGCTGGTAGAGAAAGACACGGATACACTCAGTGCGCACTAAACCTTCCAATAGAATTCGCTACTAGCAAGCTTAGGAAATATCTATTGCCATGTCGGTATTACAAGTGTCTAGTTTGGGCGACAAATTCAAACTTTGGAATTTTCCAAAGCCTACTTTGTCGCTTGTCAAATTGTCGTGCTGCTACATCGACATCGATTAACAGCGTTGCCAACTTTAAGAAACTTTGTTTCTATTACAGGCTCTTGAATTTTCTTTATCTGGAGAAATTTAGAAGGGAGTGAAGTTGGCTACAAGTGGTTTTGGCTAAAAGATGGAATTTTTGGCAGAAAATTAAGAAAATCCAAAGCCTCGCACTTTAAATCAGTTTTCCAGACTGAAAAAGCCTTGGAAAAGTGAAGAAAAGCACTCAAAATGGCCGACTGTCAAAAATGGCAAATGACATTTATTACAAAAGGCCTACTTGATTGAAAGCGATGTTGCCACAATTACAATCCCCAGTTTTTTCCACATTTTCCGATGAATTTGCAGCCTGGAAAAGTAACAAATTTCCATTTGTAATGTTAAATTGATTGTATATTTTTGGAAGAAACAGTGATTATAGCGAGTGAGACAAAGAGAGAGATAAAGTAGGATACATTTCATGCTCTTGGTCTGTCTAAAGGTGGGAAAAAAGACGCAAATTTCGAATTTGCATCGCACTTAGAACCACCTTTCTCCGATTGAAAAGGCGGAAAATTCAAGGAATATAAACAAAAAGTTTTCGTTACTTACCCCTTTGAAATTTTAGGCAGAAAATTAAGGAAATTCAAAGCCTCGCACGCTTTTCTTGATTGAAAAGGCACTGGAAAAGTGGAAAATTCCAGGAAACAACTGGATAAAAACCAAAACGTGTCACTCCAAAACGGCTGACTGTCAAAAGTGGCAAATGAAAGCAACGTTGCCACATCTCAAATAGAAAAAATAATGGTTTTTTGCTTAAAATTTCTTAAAAAGCTGTTAAATAATAAATTGGCACTGGAAACTTGTTTTTGAAAATAAACTTCAATGAAAAATACCATTCCAAGGCCTACTTGATAGTGAGTAAGACAAAAAAGGAGATAAACTTGGATATAATGCGAAAACATTTCAGCTTTGTAATGGAGTAGATTTTAATGCTTCTGTTGTTGAATTTCAGTTCTATTTTAACTCTAGAATGATTAAAAAAGCTCTAAAACGCGGAAAATTCAAAGAAAAACAAACGAAAATGTCATTCCAAAGCCTACTTGATAATACTAAAGATTTCGTTACTTATCCGGAAATTTTTGGCAGAAAATGAAGGAAATTCAGATGTCAATTTTTACGATCGAAAAGACCCTGAAAAAGTGGAAAGTTCGAGGAAAATCCTGAATAAAAACGGAAACGTGTCACTCAAAATGGCCGACTGTCAAACGTGGCAAATGATTTTGAAAGCGACGTTGACAAATAGAAAAAAATAATAGTTTTTGCATCAAATTTATCAAAAAGCTATTAAATAATTAATTAATAATGATTATAAATATTGAAATTCTTGAAATCAGGCATTGGAAACTTGTTTTCAATGAAAAACTACATTCCAAGGCCTACTTGATAGTGAGTAAGACAAAGAAAGAGATAAGGTAGGATACAATTGCGAAAACATAACTTCCTGTTATATCTAGAATACAGGTATTATGTAACAACCAAGGTTGTTTGAAAGAGTTATAGGTTGCCTTATGACGTCATCTGGATGCCTAATCTTCAAAAGATCTTCCTGATGACGTCATCTGTTCAGCATTACCAGACAACCTATTAACTTTAGGAATTTTGTGTAACAACATAATTAAAGAGTTCATGATGGAATCTTACATTATTCAGTGTTGTTTGAGCAAATTTCTCTATGTTTAAATTAAAATCCTTCTATCAAATATTCTTTATAGAAGAATGCCTGCAGGGTCTATACTTTTACTATCGCTCAATGTAGGTGGACATGAATCAAACAAAATGCTTCTTTACTGGACATTTTTCATCTTCGTCCCAGTTCCAGTAAACTTTCATTATCAACTTCTTGGCAATTCTTCAACTTTTCTTTTGTGCTACTCTGTTTTCCTCACTGGATCAATTAGAAACTTTCTCTACCATTTTTCCAAATGAACCTCTAATAACCAAAACCTGATGAAATAATAATATAAAAAAAATTCTTCTGTATAGGTCATCACCAAACCGTTCCAAGGTAACCAGATAGGCGGCCCGCACATGATCACAGCCACCCAAGGCAAACAGGTGCTGCAAGGTAGCCAGGCGACCACTTTTCCAGGCTACGCTACCATTCCTACCATACCCACAACCCAAAATCAGCAAACGTTGGTTTTCAGTCAACTGGGCGTGATCAGTTCGCAACCCAATTTGCTGCCCAACCATTCTGGACAAGGGAACACGCAGGTGGCGCAACAGAAACCACAGGATATGCATAAGGTATGTTATTTAGGATTGGATTTATTGTATTTTTTCTGCCAAAAACTCAAAATTCTGTGGTAATTAATATCTACTAACACCCGAAGTGAAAAAAATCTACGATTTCAAAATCTAAAATGCAAAAATCTTCGAATTAATACTCAATACTGAAAACACTGACTACAAGACACTCTGAAGACTCAAGACTTTATTCTGAAAACCATCAAAAATCAAGTCAAAAGATTTTTAAGTGTCTTCTAACTGAAATTGCTGAAAAACTCTCAATTTTGAGGTTCTTTGTGTCACAATTCTTGGTTCAAAATTAATACTCTGACACTCTAAGTAAAGAAAATCTACGATCTCAAAATCTCAAATGCAGGAATCTTTGAATTATTAATACTCAATACTGAAAACACTGACTACAAGACACTCTGAAGACTCGTGTCTTCATTCTGAAAACCATCAAAAATCAAGTCAAAAGATTTTGAAGTGTCTTCTAACTGAAATTGCTGAAAAACTCTCAATTTTGAGGTTCTTTGTGTCACAATTCTTGGTTCAAAATTAATACTCTGACACTCTAAGTAAAGAAAATTTACGATCTCAAAATCTCAAATGCAGGAATCTTCGAATTATTATTAATTATACTCAATACTGAAAACACTGATTACATGACACTCTGAAGACTCAAAGCTTCATTCTGAAAACCATCAAAAATCAAGTCAAAAGATTTTGAAGTATTTTATAACTGAAATTGCTGAAAAACTCTCAATTTTGAGAAACTTTGTGTCAAAATTCTTGGTTCAAAGTTAATACTCTGACACCCTAAGTAAAGAAAATTTACGATCTCAAAAACTCAAATGCAGGAACCTTCGAATTATTAATACTCAATACTGGAAACACTGACTACAAAACACTCTGAAGACTCAAAACTTCATTCTGAAAACCATCACAAATCGAGTCAAAAGATTTTGAAGTGTCTCATAACTCAAATTTCTGAAAAACTCTGATTTTTCTTTCTGTTTCAATATTCTGTTCCCAAATTTGTGATAAATATTCGTTTCATTGCCCTACGTAGGTAATCACAGGTCAAAAAGTTCAAATGCAAAAACAGCATCAACAACAGCAACAAACCATGATAGGAACACAACCCGCGGCTCAAATTATCAGTCCCATTCAAGTAAGAATTTTACTTTTTGTTTTCTGCATCCAAGTTCTGAGTTTTTGTTTTGTATTTCGGTAGTTTTTTGATCCAAGAGAGAGTTTGATTTGGATTTTGGTTCTTGACCTGATGTAGTTAGGTAACAATTTCAGCAACTAGTGGCATGAAATCTTTCGTCTTCTCAATGCATGACAATAATAGAACCAAAGTGTGAGTTCAGCAATTTTAAATTAGTCAGTATAGGCAACTTTGAAGGTTTAGTTCAGGACTTTCGAAGACTTAAAATCAATAGTTTTAAAGTCTCATCTTTGGAATCTTCAGTTTCAGGTCCTTATTTGGCAGTCTACATTCTAAAGTCTTAAGTTTTTAAGTCTTCATAGTGTTGAGTTTTAAAATCTCTAGAAATTTTGGAAGTTGTTAAAATTTTTGGGATTTTCTCCATACAGCTTTAAGGCAATATCTTCAATATCCTTATATTTTCTAACGTCTCTCGAATCATTGAGTCTTATATTCATTTTAAAATTTTTGAAAATAAATTTTCAGAGCCTTTAGAATCTCTCAAGTCTTTAGTGACGTGAGAAACAATTTTCTGAGAAACTGCAAGTCTTTTGTTTATAATTCCTATAACTTGTTTTCTTATCTTCAATAAAATTTGCTTAAGTTAAGTACTTTTGAATCCTTTGAGTAACTTTTTCTTTCTCAAGCTTAGTTGAAAAATCCAGAATTCATTGAAGAATTACTATTAAAACTTAATTTTACCGTTTCTTCTTTTCAGCCTGGAGGTCAACAAATGCAATTCACCAACAGTCTTCCTTGGCAATTCGCCGCCAACAGCATACCCCAAGTGTGGGCTACCAACGGTCTCCAATCCCAAGCCCTTCTGGCTTCAAATCCTATTTTTATTAGAGGCACCCAAGCTGATGGTACTCCTGGTATGTTTATACAACAGAACCCTCAGACAGCTACAATTCAAACACAACCAAACCGTAAGTAACTTGATTTTCTTATCCAAAAAAACAACATTCAAGGTATCATGGAAATGAATTTCTTCAGAAAAGTTTTTTTTTAATTTCAGAAACTATCGCTACTCAAGGTACAGTGGCTCAGGCACCCAAAAGCAGGCCAATCAACGAAAATATCCAACCGAAACAGACCAATAATCGTCCTTTGAACATTTTACCTTCCAACGCTGCCACAATTAGGCCTGCAAGTTCGGTTTCCACACAGACAATCGGTGCTCAGACACCTGTAAGTATAATTTTTTTCTAACCAATAATATCAATCAGCTCTTTTGAGTAAATTTTTCCAAATTTTGTGTGGTTTTATACTTCTAGTTCCTAGATCCTAATTGAAAATTCGATTATCTATAACATTTTTCTTATGGATAATTACCAATTTCGGCAATTAGACATATTCATTGCAGACGATGGGTAACAAACAGGGTGCCAAAATGAGAACGAAAACACCTCAGATCAGATCCCCCGCCCCAAAAGCTGACGCCGCCAATCAAACCCAGTTAAAATCGTACACCAACTTACAGCAACATCATATAGTTGGAAATAAGTAAGTTAAGCTACTAAGAATATTATTTTATGAAAACTAATTCTTGTTTTTGTAATACAGAATGCTAGTAATGAATACTTCGACGGGTATGACGACTACAATGACCCCCGGATCGCCGATGACCCCCGAAAAAGCCCAGCAATTGGCTAATCAGCAAAAGAACCAGCAGAATCAGCAAGCAGCTAATCAACAGCAACAAATGCAACAGGTGATGCAACAGCAGCAAGTTATGCAACAGCAACAGGCCGCGATGCAACAGTATCAGATACAGCAGGGGCAGCAACAGATACAGGCCAAACCTATGATGAGTAAGAACATTTCTATTAAAAAATAATCTTCACTAATACAGGATACAACATTCTCTTCCTACTTTTAAAATATTAACATCATCGAATAAGAATAAGACAAAATTTTCAAAAGTATAAAACGAAAGTTTCACTCACTGCCCTATTGATAATAATAATCTGGTCTTGGCAAATGGGTTTGAGGTCTTAAATTCATGCTGAATAAATGTCTTTAGTCCATTAAGTTGTATTCATGTTCGTTTATATCCAAAAATTCTTCTGACGAGTTACTACACAATTCCTTGGTCTACTACAATTTCAATTAAATTAACAATAGAGTCTTCCAACAAACTGGAGATTTGAAGTAAAGGGTTGTTACGGGATGATTTTTCCTGGGCCAAAATAAAAGGAAATAAACGTATTCGCCTCATTGAACAGCATAGCATATCTTCGTCGAGCCACTGTTTTCTTTCCAATAGTTGTGGCCACACTTTTCTTGGAGTTTTGACAGAACCTTTTTAAAGGACATTGAAGGGACAAGCAGAGGTCATTCAATTCGAAGGCTTTTCACGAAGAAGTGTTCGGGAAAATTCCTCAGGTACATTTTGCCGATTTCTGAGTTGTCCAGTTTTCGCTCATAGACTAGGGTGGCTAATCCGTTATTTTAGCACCAAAGCGCCTTGCGCGGATTTCTTTGTGAGCCGAAAAAGAGCAACATGATCAATTGTTTATTCCTAAATGCCAAAGTATTTTGGCCTTATTTAGTCGTCACGCTTTAGCCCTTAACTGTGAGTAAAGAGTTAAACTTTAAGCTTACTGTATATTTCAAGTCGTACCTCCTGTCCTCAGTTTCCGCTAGACAATTGGAAGCTTAAGTTACTTCTAGTTACTGAACTCCAATGCCCAGGGCTAGTTGCTTCTTGTCGCGACCCTGATCCAGTCCCAGACCATCAGAAACAGTGGAAGATATCAATCCAATCCTTCAGGTTCTTCTCAAGGGATTAGGGACTACTCAGGTTTGATAAGTGTGTTGTGTTTATTGTCTTAATATCTGGAACCTATCAAACCTTACCAACCTCTTGTTGGAATAGATCACCACAGCGACGCAGTCTTCTATAATATTAAATTTGCCTTCAGGTTTTGTGTTATTATTTCAATTTTAATAACTTATCTATATTACCTTACCTATATCATATGGAACTTACCCTTCATCAGGTTATGTATTGTTACTTCATTTTCAGTATTTATCTATATTACCTATATTATATCGGGTCTTCAAAAAAAAAACCAATCAAAGATTGCTTTGGTTCCGAAAACGTACGTCGCATTATTGTTTCTTTATTGGCCAGGATTTTTGACATGACATTTTGACATTAAATTTCATTGACTGACATTGTCAAAATTAAAGAAAAATATTGCTAAGACGTACGTTTAAAAAACCATAGCAATCTTTGATTGTTTTTTTTTTGAAGACCCGATACCATAATAATAAATTCGCCCTTCACGTAACGTATTGTTACTTCAACTTTAATTAATGATCTATATTTCTCTACTATCCCATGCTGCACTGAATACAGGAAAATACTTGTGCACTGGGGTTAAATGGCTATTAACGAAGGTACTGCATTTAGTAAGCTTGTCTATTAATTTACATTTCAGGTATTATTGCTGTTATAAGTGTTATACAATACTCTTTACTTTATTTAGGGACTCAAGCTGAGTGTAATTATTGTAAATACTATTTTTAGAACGTAAGGTTAGGTATTCGGGTACTCCAAGTCGATTAATTTTGTTCTTGTTCTGGTTCTAGTGTTAATACTTTTCAGTGTTCCAGGGCGTTCGGAAAACCCACTCCCAACCTACTCTAGAGTCAAACCTGTTCTGGTTCTAATTGACCCATCTTTTTTTACCTTGATTGCGCGCGCAACTCGTGGGTTGCAGGTGAGCCTCCAATTAGAAGCGAGTTTATTACGGGCTTGCGTCATATTCTTATTCAGGGGCCAGTTTAGAATGTATCCTTCCTTCTTTCTTTGTAACGTGTAACTCGACAAAGAGCAAACTAATACTTTACTACTTCTGAACTCACCGCAGTGTTGTTTAAAATTATGTCAAATTATACTTGACATATTTCTTTGCACTTTCATTGTGCGATGTTGCTTGATGAAGCATTTATCAAAATAAAAGTGCAAACGTTGTTAACATACACTTTAAAGCTCTTCTTTTGTCTGATTTAGAGCGTTGTAAAACACGTTGTAAAAAATCACTTTTTTATTGGTAGAATGTTCGATTTGTATTATTTACATTTGTTCTGCAACAATACATACTGGCTACACTGCAACCCACTAGTTGCGCGCGCATGTCATCTTTTATTACTTTCCAACTTGTATTTATTACAATTAAGCTATCTTTTTCTATTTATGCGAAACAGGTCAATTAAAAACCCGTACCTGATTGTAGCAAAGCGTTTCACTTCTGCCCTTTCTTCTTGTTTATTTTATATCTCAGGTTGTGTTGCTATAGGTCCGTAGAAGTTTCCTGCTTTCGTTATATCGGTTGACTTCGTGTACTGCAGGGAAAAGCAGGTGGCGCTCTATATTTAATTATTTAATTGATCCACATCCCTCTCCGCATTGGAAGCTAGTCGGCAACCCTTCACTCTCTTTCTATTTTTTTTTTTTTGTTTTAGTTACCCATTCACTGTCTCACTTCCTCAAATTTTATTATTCACTTTTCAATCGTGTTTTGCGGGTAACAGGGTCATCCTGGGTGTTCGATAAAGGGTGCTGGGAGATGGTACTTTATCATCTGAATGATGTACTAATAATATGAAACTATAAAAACCAAGCATGGTTTCACGGATTTCAGACTTTGTTCCACTTATATTTTCTATGCTCCAGCATTCACTCAGATTTGTGAATGGACACCAGTTTTAGTGGTTACTTCAAATGTAAAGAGGAAGAGATGTCTGTTTGAAATTCGAATCAATTTCTCTTCAACTCCAATTTCAATAAGAAAAGAAAAGAAATCTTAATTCAACTACGGCCCTAGAGCAAATTATACCAGAATCTTTTACTCTTCGCGACTTGAATGTAGTGTAATGTTGAGGACTTTTTTTTCCTCTCTCTCCCAAGCCTGTCGGACTTATTGTCCTACCACTCTAGTATTTTGGTGCCCTGTATACAAATTTGTACAGGTCTTTTACTGGGTCCTTATTCTTGAAACAGGGGAGCAAGCGTTTCCAGGAGGACGAGTGTTCCGTCTTTCTCAATGGTATGCAAATGATAATATAAGTAACAAAGACGGAACACTCATTCTCCTTTTTATGCTGCTCCCTTGTTTCAAGAATAAGTGCCCTGGGTGGCGGTTCTTTTCACTTAGTGAGTTCCACGTATAGACCACCCTATTGCACAAGAAGCTGCTTCTGAGAAGTTAGAACATCTTTCCTTTTCTAATTTTCTAGAGTGCCCTCGAAGGTTGTGGTTGTCCCTTAGAGTATATACAGCGTGTACCATTCAAAGCGAAACAGGCTATATCTGATGCCACGCTCGTACACGTAATTTGATTTTCAAAGGGAAAAGTTTTCTGCAACCATTTTTAGCACTTAAACTATAACCTTCTAGGCGGGGTGGGACTAACCACCAACTTTTACTATTTCAAATGGAACGGGGGGTCAAGTGATACCTCTTTTTAGAGAGCGTTCAATAATTCTCTTACATTTGATGTCATTTGAAAGAAAATTGAACGCTCTTTTAAAACAGGTATCACTCGACCCCCTGTTCCATTTGGAATGGTAAGGCTTGGTCCAACCCCCCTAGAGGGTTAAGTTAGTGCTCAAAATGTACTCACAAAATTTTTGTGTATGAGCGATTTAAAAAAAAATAATAAAAGTGACATCATAGATATTCAGCCTGATTCGTATTAATTGGTATACCCTGTATAACACCATCTATTATTTCCATAGGCCTTTTTGTTACTGGTTTTTCAAATGGTAAACGATTGATTTTTGATTGTGTACAAATTGTACAAATTTCATTTTCCCTGTCTTCAATATCTACATTTAGATTCTCTACCATACTGTCTTTAACAAGTTTTGTCAAAATTTTTATTTCCCATGTGCCCTAACCTAGCATGCCATAGTTCGAAACTCTTTTCTTTTCCATATTTTCTCTATTATGTTTGTATAGTATGTTAGCGCGTAAATTCTTGATGCCAGAAGGAATCAATGAAACAATGGAGGACTGCACACAAATAATCTACCTATAAATATGACATTCTACCCAACAAACACAAGTACGTCTTTAGTACGTCCGCGGACGTACTTTTTAGGTCCCGCCGACGTACGAGGGACGTCTTTATGACGGTCGTTTTCCACAAAATAGTGCGTCCCACGTACGTACATTTAGGTACGTACTCAGTACGGCTTTTTCGGTACGTATTTGGGACATACATTAACGTACGTATTTAGTATAGCTTTTTAGGAATGTGTTTGGGACGTAGGTACAGGGTTTTCCCATATATTTTTACACCCCACCGGCACTGGTTGATTGGATAGGTAGGTATCAAAAAGATGTAAATACAAATGTTGTATTTACACCTTTTTGATAGGTACCTATTCAGTTAACCTGTTCAGATGGGTTGCAAAAATATATGGCAAACATAAACATCACTCATATGTATTTATATGTATGTTTATAGCGAAAAATAAAACAATTATCCCTTCACAATCCGATGTCCACAGGTAGGTACAGGTAAAATCACATTTCAATGCTATTTGACAGGGAAAGGTGATAAATTTACCTGAACCTGTGGACATCGGATTGTGAACAGGATATACATATTGTATTTTAAAGTGGAAATTTTTATACAATAAATATCTTAACAATTACATTAAAAAACTAAAAAATATAAATAACATAAGATCAATTATAAAATATAACATACCCTTAAACTTAACCTTAACCTTAAACAACAGTAAATATAAAAAAAAATAGGTAGGTATAACCTACAAACATTGAGAGAATTGT